TATCGTAAAGATTTACACCCTCGGAAACCCTGTACAGGGTCGCTATGAGTCGGTTCCGACTCCACGGCACATAACAACAACAATATATATATATATATATGATGAATACTCCATTCAGGTCATTAACAATATATGTTCTTTACTTTATCTCAAATTTCAAGTCTCCTTGAAGTCTTGATTCTTTTTCTCAAATTTCAAGTCTCCTTGAAGTCTTGATTCTTTCTCCTCCTCACAACACAGACAGACTTCTCTGCCCTGTGGCACTCTATGAGTGGATGTGGGACCCATTCGGCCAATCTAGCTCCTTGAAACTTCTGGTAACCACTACCATTACCGCCTCCTCCGCCGCCTTCTTCTTTTCGTCTTCCTTCTTTTTACTTTGTCAATTGCTCTTAGTGTTCAAGCCTCATAAATAAAGCAACCAAACCTTGTGATTGGATTTCTTGGGGAGGTTTTGAATGCTTTGATCTACCTTACTTATTTATGGAGCCTGTGCCAAGTGGCTACCACCATGCCATCTTGGAACTCTTTTACAGCTATCTCAGTTTCTCAAGTGCAAGGAGATGGGGACCCCCTTGGGATCTCCTCCCCCCTCCCCCACAAATCCTGGCTCTGCCCTGGTTCCCCATCTGAGCCCACCTGACCTCAAGCAGGGCGGATTTGAGGAGTGATGGGGGAAGCAGTGCTGTAAAATGCTGATGTCTGGTGCAGCGAAAATACCTTGGTCAAAAGTTACACTTAAATAAGGCAGGTGCTGTGGAGTCACCCTTGGCTCCTCTCTGTCTGTCCTCACATCCAGTCTGTCTCTAGAGAGATAGGTCAGGAGATAGCTACTGTCGAGTGAACACCCACTCATGGTAACCCCATGTACAATAGGACAAATCTTTGCCTGGTCCTGGTCCGTGATCATTACTATGCCTCAGTGCATTGTTGCAGCCGCTCTTCACTTTGAGAGCCTTCCCTCCAAGGGGATTAATTTTCCAGTACTCTGTCGGTCACTCATCTGTTCTGATCCGTTGGGTTTTCATTGGCGAATGTTCAGACGTGGATTGCCTGGGTTTTCTTCAGTCTGTCTCAGTCTGAACACTCCACTGAAGTGTGTCCACCATGAGCTGCTACTGACGACACCACATCCAGCATCATACCAACACACAAGTCAGTATGGCAGACTGACATGCGGATGGTGGAACCCATCGCTGATAAATATGAGATGAATATCACTCTACTTGGTGCTTTACTACTGCTTCTCTTCCTCTCCTCTCCTCCTCCTCTTCCTTTTTCACTTCCATGGCCAAGGCCAAACCACCATCATCCTTCACTGGATGACAAAAGCACTGGAATTAACTTCCCTGTATCCACTCTGTTTCCCCGCCAACTCATTGTCTACATCCTCTTAACAGGATATTTTCAAGAAAAGTCTGGTATGTCACCTCTTGATTGAAACCTTCCAATGACTTCCCATCGTTTTAAGACAAAGACTAAGCTCCCTAACACACAGAACCCTGCCCTGTCTACCTCTGTCCATCTTCTTATCCTCACTTCACCCCACATTCCCTCAGTCTCTCTCTGCTTCAGCCTCGCTGATCTGCGTTCAGTCCCTCAGCTCACTTCCCACCACAGGACTTTTGCACATACTGTCTGCTTTGCCTCAATCGCTCTCTTCTCTTCATCTTACCTCATTCATGTTGACTCGCCCTTCAGGCCTAGGTCCACGTCCTTGTTTGGAGCCTGCTTCACTTTCTGTTGGTACACCTGCCTCTGTTGCAGCTTTGGCCACAGGTCTGTGATCAGTAGTGTCTGTCCTTTGTCTGTTACCTTATTGATCCCCAACCACACAGCTGAGTCTTGGGCAAGTAGGATATGTTCAGTAAATATTAGTTGAATGAGTAATGGATGATGAGCTATTGTATTTTTTTTTTTTTTTTTGATTTTTTTGGTTTATGAGCATGAGTTTGTTAAAACCTAATAGGATGTACTTTGGGAGCCTACTGTAAAGTTGGTGGTTCAAATCCACCCATTTGGGCAGAGTTCTCTGAGTGTGGCAGGAATTCAAGGTTACATTCCATGTGCTGACCCCAGGATTGGAGGTCGCTGGGTAGCAGAAATGGTTAAGTGCTTAGCTATAAACTGAAAGCTTGGCAGTTCAAATCCACTCAGTGATAATCTACTTCTGTGAGATTGTGTTGTTATTGTTAGATGCTGTTGAGTCGATTCTGATTCATAGCGATCTCATGGAACACAATAAAACTGCCCCATAGGAATTTATTGGCTGTAATCATTTTATTTTTTAAAGTATTGTTGTGAATTCAGTGAATATTACAAATCAGATCAGTTTTCTATTCAACAATTCAGACACATTTTGTTTCACATCATTGCTTGCAATTTCCACTCTTCCCACTTTTCCCTGTGTTTCCTGTTTCCATTCTTTCATCCCTAACACTTCTGAACTGTGTCCTGGGGCAGACTCTGTCATTTTTACCTCAAATGGTTGATGCTTCTAAGGTGTGTGAACCTCCCTAGTGCTATTGTTCCCTTACGTTGTTGGTAAGTGCCTTCAGTCAGTTTGACCTCAGAATGACCCTGTATAGGATTTCTGAGGTGTGACTGGTGGATTTAAACTGCCAACTTTGTATTTCAAACCAACTTGGTGATCCAGTGCTTACTATACAGTGCCACTCCAGAATTCCTTGTCCCCTTGCTGCTAAATGCCGTTGAGTCGGTTCTGATTCATAGAGACCCTGCATAGGGTTTCCAAGGAACAGCTGATGGGTTTGAACCACTGACCTTGTGATTCAACCAACCTTGTGGTCCACTGCTTATCCTAAAGTGCCGCCCCCCAGGACTTTTTCTTCCCTTATGGTAGTTATGTACCATGGGAGTCAGTTCTGACTCATAGCGACCCTGTACAGGGTTTCCAAGGCTGTGAATCTTTATAGGAGCAGAAAACCTCATCTTTCTCCCATGGAACAGCTGGTAGTTTCAAATACACTATCAGAGCTCCTTTGTTCCCTTATGTTGTTGTTGTTATGTGCCGTGGAGTCGGTTCCAACTCATAGCGACCCTGTACAGGGTTTCCGAGGCTGTAAATCTTTACGGGAGCAGAATGCCTCATCTTTCTCCCATGGAACAGCTGGTAGTTTCAAACTGGTGACCCTGAGGTTCACAGCCCGATTCATAACCACTACGCTACCAGAGCTCCTTTTGTTCCCTTATAGACCTATCTATTGTCTGACTGAACATTGAGTCATGGGGGGTGAATTCAATGACTGTAATCATTAGGAAAGCAGATTGCCAGGCTTTCGCTCACCACTGGGTGGGTATGAACCACCAGCCTTGCATTTAGCAGCCAAGCACTTAGCCATCCACTGAAAACCTTACGGGGTGCAGGTCGACTCTGAAACACACAGTTGGAATTCATTCAGCACTGAAAGTAATGGGATTGGGTTTGGCTCTTTAGCTTTTACATAGGCCTGGGGGTTCTGGGAATGTATACCAGCTCACAGAAGAAAGTGTGTGCTCATTTATTTACCAGTGCCTACATGGGTACCAGTGCTCCGGAGGGAGAACCGGTTGTGATGAGTGACGCTCTTTTCAGTTGTTACTTCATCAGTGGCATCCACTCAACCAGCTCCTCAACACATGCCAACACCAGTCCCTAAACGTCCGTCTGTCTCTTTTCTTCCCTCTAGATTTATGGTCAATGTGACGTGGGATGGCAAAGACTTGTCCTTCACTGAGGAAGGCTACCAGGTCCACCCGAGGCTGGTGGTGATTGTGCTGAATAAGGACCGGGAATGGGAAAAGGTGAGTGCTTTCGTGCATTCTGCGTGCTGGGAGGGAGGTGAACACACAACATGGGGCCCGAGTTACTCATGTTCTGCAACATAGTTCCCATTGAGATGCCCCTGATCCCATCACACAGCCAGGGGCAGACCACATGCTGTAAATTGCTATTGGAATGCTTTCTGTAAGGCAGGAATGGGGAACCTCTTCTCTGCCAAAATTTATAACATTGTTCCATACAAAATTATCAGCTTAAAAATTTGTCTGCTATATTTGGTCAAACATTTAATTAACTCACCCCTAATGTGATGGCTAAAGAGCTCTGGTAGCGTAGTGGTTACGAATTGGGCTGTGAACCGCAAGGTCAGCAGTTTGAAACTACCAGCTGTTCCACGGGAGAAAGATGAGGCTTTCTGCTCCCGTAAAGATTTACAGCCTCGGAAACCCTGTACAGGGTCGCTATGAGTCGGATCCAACTCCATGGCACATAACAACAACAACAACAACAAATGTGATGGCTAAGGAACTCTGGTAGCATAGTGGTTATGAATCAGGTTGTGAACCTCAGAGTCAGCAGTTCAAAACTACCAGCTGTTCCGCGGGAGAAAGATGAGGTTTTCTGCTCCCGTAAAGATTTACAGCCTCGGAAACCCTGTACAGGGTTGCTGTGAGTCGGAACCAACTCCCCGGCACATAACCACCACCACCACCAATGTGATGGCTGGAGTCCTGGTGTGGCACTGTGGGATAAAGCATGGGACCACAAGGTCAGTGGTTCAAACTCACCAGCCACTCCTTTGAAACCTTATGCAGGGTCACTATGAGTCAGAACTGACTCAACAACACTTAACAACAACAACAATGTGATGGCTGGAACTGTGGATGCCTTGGCAGGACCAGACCAAATGGTTTCCCTACCCTTGCTATAAAGGATTGCCATATACAATAGAAGACCTCAGAATAGCTTAAAGGCAATGGCATTTTGGATCAGACCATTGCAGTAGTGAATGTTGACTTATAAGACAGTGATCAGACCAGTTTTCCTAAGCTTCATAATCATGTGCTGTGCCCACAGAAATTGCCCTATGCATGTACCCCCATGTATTGTCATTGACTTTGTCTTTCAAAATCCAGTTTCCAAATATAAATGTGTCCCCCAGAGGTCATCGGCTGGGGAGAGGCATGTTTGAGTTCTTCATGTTACTTTCTGTTAGAGGAGCTCTGGTAGTGAAGTGGTAATGAGTTGGGCTGCTAATCTTAAGGTCAGAAGTCCGAAACTACCAGCTGTTCTACAGGAGAAAGATGAGGCTTTCTGCTTCTATAAAGATTTACAATCTCGGAAATCCTGTGCAGGTTGGCTATGAGTCGGAACTGACCCCACGGCACACGACCACCACTACTACATTCTCTGTTACATACACCCGTGGCCCAGTGGTTAAGGTCTGGGCTGTTAACCCAAAAGTCAGTGGATCCTACTCATCAGCCACTCCATCAGAGAAAGGTGAGGCAGCCTGCTTCCATAAAGATTATAGCTGGGAGAGTCTCCGGAGTAGTTCAACTCTGGCCTCTAGGACCTGAGTCAGAACCGACTCGACAGCAATGACATTTTCTTACATGTGCATTGTTGTTGTCAGAAGCCATCCAGTTGACTTCTGATCCCTGGTGATCCTATGTGGCAGAGCAGGAGTTCCCTAGATTATAATCTTTATGGGAGCAGATGGACATGCCTTTTCTCCCATGGATGCGCTAGGTGGATTTGAAGCAGCAATCTTTAGGTTAGCAGCTAAGCATTTAACTGTTGCACCACCAGAGCGCCTTACAAATACATTGTGTTATTGTTATTTATTAAGTGCCGTTGAGTCCATTCTGACTCATAGCTACCCTATATCAGACTTGTGAGGAGTGACTGGTGGGCTTGAACCACCAACCTTGCAGTTAGCAGTCCAGTGCTGATTGGAGAGCGCCACACCTACATATATATGAACTACTAGCAAAAAAACAATTACCTCGAGCCCACCAACAGTCCCTTAGAGGGTGCAGGACTGGGCCATGTTTTGTTCTGTATTCCAGCTCACTATGCATCAGAGCCAACTCAAAAGTAACTAAAAACAACCAATACAATCATCACTGTAATCATCTCACATAGCACATAAGCCATGTCCTAAGGCACAGAGAATTTCCCATGACCTTTTGCATATACTGACAATATATGAGGTTGAGTCAAAAATTATCCTGTGGTTATATTAAAACACCCGTCCATGTCCACAGCTGATGACAACATTGAGTGTGCACATAAAATGATTCTGTCAAAGAGATGAGTGACAGTGGATTATGTGACTAGTCGTTTTCAAATCAGCCATGGCAGGATGCCCATGAAACAATCCATGACAGACTTGGGTTTCAAGAAGTTTGTGCAAGATGGGTACTGAAACAACTCGCAGAAAGAAGAGCACTAAAAGAAGCATTTGGATTTCTGTAAACAGAATGGATACTAATACGCAAGGAAAGGTAAAAGGTTTTTTTTTTAATTGTTACTAGTGATGAGACATGGATTCATCACTATGAATCTGAGAGTAAACAACAGAGTAGGGAGTGGAAACATCCTCAATTGCCAACCAAGAAAACATTAAAAGGTGAACGATCAACTGGAAAACTGATTCTTAAAGTTTTCTGGGATTCTTAAGGACCAATGAAACATTATCAGGAAAAAGGCTCAACAATCAACAGTGCTTACTGAAGAGCTGAAGCTTAAATTTGGGATTAAACACAGAGGACTGCTGTCCAAGCGCCTTGTGACCTTGCATGACAGTGCATGTCCACACACCTCTGCCCACACTGCTGACGCTCTGTAAAAACTTCATTTTGAGGAGTTAAAGCATCCTCCCTATATTCCTGATCTTGCTCTATTGGACTTTCACCTGTTTGGTCCCCTGAAAGCAGCCCTGTGAGGATGAAGATTCACCTCTGATGAAGAAGTGAAGACAGTGGTGCATTCGTGGCTTCGCAACTCAGCCTAAAATATTTTTTAATAAAGGGATATGAAAGCTTATTGACAGATGGACAAAGTGTATTGAAGCGCAAGGAGGCTATGTCAAAAAACGATGCATTTGTCTTTTCTAAAAGTTGATTCGAATAAATCTTACAGCCAAAGTGCAGATAAGTTTTTACTCCCCCACCTATCTCCCAATTGTACTCACTTCTCTCCCTAAAAATGAAGCTCTTTTGTTATTTTGACTTCTTTGACAATCAGGGCATAGGTGCTAAACTACTGCAACATCATGAGATTTATCTTTATATATCAAATGCAGGCCTGAGAGACCTAGAGGGGAAGAAACTTAGGATGTGGTTTCGGAATCATAATTAACTGGTACCCAGAGAAAATACAATGCAAGCAGAATCATTTGGAGTCATGGAGACTGACAGATTCTCAGTAGGGAGTGGTGAAGAAATGTCAAAAGTTTTGCTCTATGAAATTCTAGCCTATAGAATTCAGTAACACATAATAAGAATACATCATGACCAAATAGGATTCATACTAGGTATGCAGAATGGTTTAACACTAGAAAATCAATCAACACAATTCACCACATAATAAAACAAAGGAAAAAAAAAAAAAAACCTGCATGATCATCTCTATTGATGTAGAAAAGGCATTTAATAAAATCCAATATCCATTCCTGCTGAAAACTCTCAGCAAAATGGTAATAGAAGAGAAATTCCTTAACATTACTAAGGGCATGCTCACAAAACCAATAGCCAATGTTATTCTGTTGAACATTATTCTAAGAGAGACTGAAAGAATTCTCCTTGAGAATTGGATCAGACAAGGATGTCCTTTATTACCATTCTTATTCAATACTGTACTGAAATCATAGCTGTAACAATGGGACAAGAAGGGGAAATAAAAGACATACAAATCGGTAAAGAAGAAGTAAAGTTATCCCTATTCAAAGGTGGTATGGTCATGTACATAAAAATATGAGAGTCTTCAGAAAATTAATAGAACTAACAGAAAAAATCAGCAATGACAGGATACAAGATCAAGATAAAAACAATAAACCAGATTCCTCTGAACTAACAAAGATAGCTCTAAAAAGAAAATCAAGAAAACAGTGCCATTTACAATTGTTGTTAAGTGCCATGGAGTCAGTTCTGACTCATAGCGACCCAGTATAGGGTTTCTAAGGAGTGCGTTTGAACCAACTACTGACCTTGTGATTCAAACCGACCTTGTGGTCTGGTACAGTGCTTTATCCCCAAGTGCCACACCATTTACAATAGCTCCCATAAAGTCCAAACATTTAGGAATAAATTTAACCAAGCATGTAAAAGACTTATACAAAGAAAACTACACAACACTACTGGAAGAAACCAAAAGGGAACCTACACTCAATTCACAATAAAAAGCTTATTTATTTATTTATTTATTTATTTTTCTTTAAGAAAAAAAAAGCAACAGAAAGGGACTTACATAAATGGAAGAACATACCATGCTCATGGATAGGGAGACTAAACATTGTTAAAATATCAGAAATACCCAAAGTTATCTGTAGATATAATCTTGGACCAAATTCTAACAACTTTCTTTAATGAGATAGAAAAACTAATCACCAACTTTATTTAGATAAGGAGGAGGCCTTAAATCAGTAAGGCATTACTGAAGAGGAAGAACAAAGTTGGAAGCCTCACATTTTGTGATCTCAGAACCTACCATAAAGACATAGTAATTTAAACAGCCTAGTAGTAGAAATAGGAAGCTCTGGTAGCGTAGTGGTTACGAATCGGGCTGCGAGCCACAAGGTCAGCAGTTCGAAACTACTAGCTGTTCTGTGGGAGAAAGATGAGGCATTCTTCTCCCATAAAGATTTAAAGCCTCGGAAACCCTGTACAGGGTCTCTATGAGTCGGAACCGACTCCACAGTACATAACAACAACAAGTAGTAGAAATACCATAGAGAAGAATTGATGTGTTCAAGTTACGGTGTTGGAGGAGAATATTAAAAGTACTGAGGACTGCCAAA